CAAAATAAATGAAAAATTAGAAATGATACAAAATCTACACACAGAAATCCAGAAGATTAATACTCAATTTTCAGAAATAGATAAGACATTGAATGGGCAAATGAGCAGAATTGAATCAATCAATTAGGGAGATTGAAGGCAAATACCTAAACACTTGGTTGGAAAGAGATAAACCAGAAAAAAGATCAAAACAAAATTAAGAAAGCCTAAGGTTCATGTGGGATACCATCAAAAGGAATAAGCTATGTGTCATTGGAATTCCGGAACAGGAAGAGACAAATAAAACCACAGAGACAATTGTTGAAGATTTGTGGGAAGAGAATTTTCCTGGTATGGTGAAAGATGAGAATATATCCTTTCAAGAAGTCCAACAAACGCCAAACAATATAGACCCCAAAAGAAAATCACCCAGACATATCATCATCAAACTTACCAAAACCAAAGACAAAGAAAGAATCATGAGAGCAGCAGGGGAAAAACAAAAAGTTACCTAAAAAAGTTACCTACAAGGGGCAACCAATAAGAGTAAGCTTGAATTTCTCAACAGAAACAATGCAGGCAAAAAGGCAATGGGATGGTTTATATAAAACACTGAAAGAGAAAAATTTCCAACTAAGAATGATGTACCCAGCAAAATTGTCCATCAAATATGATGGTGAAATTAGGACATTTTCAGATAATCAGAAATTAAGGGAATTTGTTAAAACCAGGCCAACCTTACAAAAGATGCTAAAGGTACCCCTTTGGACAGAGAAGAAACAATAGCCAACAACAACTGACCATTAACACACATGATGATATAAACCAGAAACCAACCCACCTATGGAAGTATCCAAAGTTAATAAGCCTATAAGACTGTAAACAGGGAACCAGAGACATCAATTGACAAATGAGGACAACTACAAACCTAAGAGAGGGAAAAAACTGTGTCATTACAGAACTTCTAGATTGTAGGGAAGTCAAGACAACTGTAAGATAGAACGGACTGTTCTAAACCTGGGAAGAAAACTCTAAATGACAGGGTAACCTCAAAGAAAAATGATAAGCCTTCACATCAAGAAAGAGGACCAGCATAAATATTCAGCAAATACTAAAACAATAGAAACAAAGGAAGTAAGGAAGTAATAACATGATTCATAAACAAAACGAGCTCAGCAAAGAAAATTATATGGAACAAAGAAATTGACACCATGAAAAAGCATGTAACAAAAATGACAGCACAGATTCATATTTGCCGATAATTACGTATCTGCCAAGGGACTTATCTCTAAGATTTATAGTGGAAGAGTAGATGACCAAACTATGGTATATACTCATAATGGAATTCTATGCAGCACTAAAGAATAATGTAGAGTCTGTAAAACACTACATAACATGGATGAACTTGGAGGACATTATGCTGTGTTACACAAGTCAATCACAGAAGGACAAATATAGTATTAGTTTATTGTTGTTGAGGGTCAAGGAAAGGTTTATATATGGAGGGAAACTTTCTTTGTTGGTTGCCAGAGGTGGGAGGGGAGAGGAGGGAACACTTCAAAAAAAAAATGCATTACCCATGTCACTTTAGTTTTGTGTACTTCACTGTACATAAATTATATTTCAATAAAGTGCATTTAAAAAAAATAA